TTCCCTAATTCCCTCCTAGGCAAGCTTTGTTCGTACACTTGGCATTTTCTGTTCCATTTGAAACTCTCCTTCCCATAGATTTTTGAACGGCTGGATTTGTTCAAACGTCACCTTCTCAGAGATGCCCTCTGAACCCCTAAAGTAGGTAGACCCCTCACACACAATTTGGAATGATCTCACTTGCTCACTTGATTTTTGTCTGTAGAGTGAGAGGGTCCTTGTTTGTCTTCTCCCTTCCCCTTTTCTGGAATAGTGCTCAATAAATAGTTGTTTGAATGAATGAATGAATGAACAAAGGAAATGTCACTGGGTCACATAGTGCCCCACCATACACAGCATGATGACTGCGTGTGCAGGTCCTCCCGTCGCCTCACTCTCTGTATACGCATATATGTTTAAAGTATCCTGTTTTACCGGTTGAGTAATACTCCATTGTACGCATGCAGTCTGTTTAACTGCTCTCCTGTTGATGGGCATTTCAGTTATTTGCAGTTTTAAAAATAAATGCTTAGAAGTGGAATTGTTGTGTTAAGGGCATGAATGTTTAGTTCGGATAAACCTGCCCTTTGGAAAACCTGAGCCAATTTGCAGATTGTCCTCCCCCCTTATAATTGCTGGGCATCATCAATCTTAAAAAATCTTCAGGGACTTCCCTGGTGGCACAGTGGTTAAGAATCCGCCTGCCAAGGCAGGGGACAGGGGTTCGAGCCCTGGTCCGGGAAGATCCCACATGCCGCGGAGCAACTAAGCCCATGTGCCACAACTACTGAGCCTGTGCTCTAGAGCCCGTGCTCCACAACAAGAGAAGCCACCGCAATGAGAAGCCCGCACACCGCAACGAAGAGCAGCCCCTGCTCGCTGCAGCTAGAGAAAGCCCATGCGCAGCAACAAAGACCCAACGCGACCAAAAATTTTTAAAAAAAGAAGAAAAAAAAAAGGTGCTGAAAAAAGAAATCTTCGCCTGTGAGGCAGCACATTCTGCCTTATTGTTGTTATCATTTACATTCTTTATGGAGCCGCTTCTCCTGTTCTTTTTTTTTTTTTGTGGTACGCGGGCCTCTCACTGTTGTGGCCTCTCCCGTTGTGGAGCACAGGCTCCAGAGGCGTAGGCTCAGCGGCCATGGCTCACAGGCCTAGCCGCTCTGCAGCATGTGGGATCTTCCAGGACCGGGGCACGAACCCGTGTCCCCTGCATCAGCAGGCAGACTCTCAACCACTGCGCCACCAGGGAAGCCCTCTCCTGTTCTTTGACCACTGCTGGGATGAAGGTCTGTCTCCTCGCTGGGTTGTGGGTTCCGTGAAGGCAGGGACGGGGGCCATGTCCCAGACTAGGCTGCCCAGTACTAGCCTTCCCAGTGCCACCCACACCCCAAGGCCCCTGCCCACCTCCTCACCTCCTGCCACCTGCCTCCTGCTTCAGTGGTACCCATTGGTGAAAGCTGTGGCAATCAAGGGGCCCTGGAAAGAAAAGAATTTGACTCCTAGATTCCTGGGGGCAGCAGAGAAAGCCCAGGGGCTCCTTCCGTCTCTCACAGGAGCCCCAGGTGAGGCACAGACATTCTCTAGCCCTGCCCGTGTTGCCCCCACTAAAAGATTCTCCAGGGTAGGGCCTGGGAATCTGCATTAACCGGTACCCTGGTTTAAAGTAGGGCACCCCTGAGCTAGAATCTAGCCTCCATGCAGAGATGGTGAGTCTCATTTGCACAGTATCCCCAGAGCACACCTAATGCCTGGCATACAGAAGGAGATCATTAAATGTCCACTGAATGACTGAATGATAACCCTCACTGTTCCTTGGTTGGTGACACTCTCTCCATCCATCATCTCTCGCCTCCCTTCTGCCCCCACAGACAGACAAGGCCTCTCCCTCCTTCAACTTCAGGGTCCTCCAGGTCCGGCCACTCACCCCAAGACTGTGGCCGAAGCCAGTGCTGGGGGCGGGGCTGGCAGCGCTGATGTAACTGCTGACCCCCGAGTCCTGGTTGGCTGCCCCATAGAGCTCGGCCATGGGGCCCGGGCTGGTGGTCCCCAGGAAGCCCCCTGTGCGGCTGGGAGTTGAACCTGGAGGGGGAGCCATCGTCCAGGGGTGAGAGCCTGGCAACCCAGAAAGAAGACGGTGATAGCCCCGGCGCCCGCTGTGACCCCCCAGAACCCCCTCCAATCCGTTCCACCCAGCCTGACCTTGGCCCCTCCCCCCTGCCTCACGCCCACAACCCAGAGGGGCATGTGCGACGCCACCCAGAAATCCTCCAGAGTCCATCCACCACCACCCCCCAGCCCCAGCTCGGGCCCCCATCATCTCTTGTCTGACCACTCAGCAGCCTCTTCACTGACCTCCCCTCCCCTCTGGAGCCCCTTCACACCTGTACCCACCCTGCAGCTGCGTGCGTTTTCTAAAATGGACATCACTCTGCTGCTTAAAATGTTCAGAGTCTCCCCAGGACCCGGTTCCTCCCAACTCCTCCCCACTCCCCACTCCTGCACTCCACCCATGCTAACTGGCCTGCAAGCCTTTGCACCTGCTCTTCCCTCTGTTGGGAATACTTTTCTTCCTGTTTGCCTTCAAATGTGAAGTTAAGAGGTGCAACCTCCTGGAAGCCTTCCCGAGGGGCCTGTGAGCTCCTTTGACAGCTGACATCCCCCAGCGGGCAGTATCATCCTTCCGTGTGATTGCCTTTTTAATACCTGATGCCCCACCAGCCTGTAAGCTCTGGAGGGCGGAGACCACGTCAATCTCCTTCCTGGCCAGCCTGCCAGGTGCTCAGTTCATATTCGTTGAGTGAATGAATAAGTGAGTCCCTCTGAAGAGGGGTAGCAGTGGCCACCTCCCCACCCCTCTAGAATTCTCTGCCCCCTGCCCCCCTCCCTCGCTTCCTGCACCCCAGAAGGCCTCACCTGTCCCTCGAACCACAGCTGCTGCTGCCGCTGCCGCTGCCATGGGTCCATAAGCAGTGAGAGGAATGGCTGGAAGGAAAGGTATGGGCGCTTCAGTGTGGCGGCTGAGGGGCAGCAGGGGATGAGGGCAGAGCCTCTCCAGCCTTACCCCACCTCGGAGCGGTGAGTGCAGCCCTGGGGTCAGGCAGAAGGACTCTCTTGGAGAAAGGGAGGCGAGAGGATCGCCTCCCAGGGATCCTCAGCTTCTCCCCTGGACTTGACGGACACACTTGAACAACCAAACCTCATAGCGGGTGTGGGTGGTGCACCCCCGCCCCCGAGCTGCTCTGAGCGTCGCCTGCAGCTGCCCCCTTCTCCAGGGAGGGCCCTTGGCTGGACGGGGGCTACTTAGCCCAGGGGTACACAGAGATTATGTCCCTCCTTCCCAACCCCAGTCCACTGGAGCCAGTGACTGACTGACACGGGTACCAAAAGCCAGGCTGTCGCCCCAAGGGACCAACCAGGAGGTGTATTAGTCCCCCTTACCCCGTGGTGGGATCCGGCTGAAGCTAGACTCCAGTCCAGGCCACAAGCCCATTTCACTCCTTCTGCTGCCTGGCCGGCTCTCCTCGCTCCCCTTCTCCCGTGAGCATGTCCTCAATACATCGTGTGCACGCAGTTCCCTGCCTCAGGGGCCCCTGACCACCACCGAGGCAGAAATGACCACTCCTTCCTCCAAGTCTCCTCATCCCCTTTTCTCTGACTCCCTCTTCAGATACAGGGATCTGGCTATTCCCTGGTTTGCTGTTTACCCCCCTCCCACCTCCGCAGCGCCTAGCACCCTGCCTTGTATACAGTTGGTGTTTAATAAGTGTCAGCTGAAGGAACAGTACTAGGAGGGACCTCTGCTTAAATAATTGGTTGGCATGAGCCTGGAGCTCCCTCAGGCCTGGGAGTGAGCGCCCCCTGCCGCTTGGCTCTGCCACTGCAGCCCTTGAGAAGCTACAATCCCAGCCAGAGCCAGGATCTGGGGAGTTTGCATTTGCCATCCCAAGATGTGCCCCTGGGGGCTGTTTTGGTGACCCTGGCCCTGAACTGGACCTGACGCTAGGGACCCTGAAAAACAACCCTGAAAGTCCTTGGCTAGGCCATTGGGCCAGGGGATTAAAGTCTAGGATAGCATTCCTG